TGGACAGAATCATTCTAACAACGCAAGCCATAAAAGATGACAAGAGGTGAACGGAGGAGGAGAAATGGGGGGAAGGGGTGGGGGGAGGGTGAGGGGAAAACAAGTGAGAGAAAATGTTTAGCTTCTGTGTTGCGATGCATGTCAAACAACCAAGATGACAACGAACTAATCTTTTCGGGGATAAGACAAAATGAAGTTAAAAATAAAAATTATGTGTACATTAACATATGAGGTTTAGAGCTTGGGGAACAATTTGTAAAATGTGTGTATTTTCATTTTTATTTTTTATTATAACTATTTATTTTATGTAAGTATTGAATAACTATGTACATGTTCATTTAATAATTCTGACTGTAATTTAATTTTATCTAGTTTAAAGCTTAAATATGAAATATTAAAAAACACGGTCATTAAAATATGCTACTTGTATGTGTACATTTTGACAAAATTGTGTTACGATTTAAAAACAAACCATTACTGTGGATGAGGATGACAGTGATTCAAATTGAAAATGATGTCTGCAAAGTAAACAATAATGATGATGATGATAATGATGAAAATCAAAATAAAATAAAGTGTTCCTAATGGTACTGAAGAGTTCAGCGTGCTCGTGATTTTGAGATGCTAATTTGTGTGCGAGGCGAGATTTGTTTGAATTCGACGACTGCAAATCAAAGTACTTCCTGTTTTTTAATACAAAACAAATAGAACTACAATCATATATTCATATATCCACTTTGTATTTTACCAAAGCCCCTCTCGCTCTTCCATCTACTTTGTAAAAAAAAAACATATACAAAAGTATCTACCTTACAAAGATTACATAATACTTTTATTACAATAACTCAATGTGAAAAATGACATCAATACAGGAATTTCTTCCAACACTCATTTTTGAACTGTATTTCTGTAACATTTGCTGAGTGAACAGTACGTGGGTGAACCATCTTAGCGGACACTGAAAGCGAGGTGGCACAAAAAAAACATATACAAAAGTATCTACCTTACAAAGATTACATAATACTTTTATTACAATAACTCAATGTGAAAAATGACATCAATACAGGAATTTCTTCCAACACTCATTTTTGAACTGTATTTCTGTAACATTTGCTGAGTGAACAGTACGTGGGTGAACCATCTTAGCGGACACTGAAAGCGAGGTGGCACATGTTTTGGGACAGGCATTTGAAGGACACTTAACGAGAAAGCCTTCATCTGCAATTACAAATTCTGACCTCTAAACAGCTCAATTGTTTTTGGTTATTATAAATACACATATATTTGCATGATGTATATGTTTCACATATTGTACAGAAATATATTAATATCAAGTACGTACGCTTACATACTAATTCAACGGTAATAACTTATTGACTGTATACTATAGATGCAATAAAACGAATGCAACAATATACGAAAAGTACGGAAAAATCGTTCTCAGTATTGAGGTTTTCTTGTTTGTGTGACTTTACACACTGGCCTAGCTAGACGTGGATATGGACTGGAGGAAAGACAGCAGAGTGGAGGAACTCATCGTCACCTCATATTACTTCAAACCCGTATACTGTTTCATGAAACACTAAATAAGTTGCAGTGAATGCACCTAGAAAAAAAACAACAATTGAATGACTAACATTTCAGCCGCATCCTTACATGACTTGACAAGACTTGGAATACGATCAAAGACTTATATTATTACCCAAGACAGTTCACTTGTATTGCTATGAATGGGCAAAACGGCAACACAACATGGCAGCTCTAGTAATCTAGCAAGTCCCACCTTCTAAATTAAAGAGCTATTAGATTCTCCCAGTTCTCACATAAATCTGAGACTTGCGCTTGGGACTGCACATTGGCAGGACCAACCTTAAATATATGCTTTTTTAACGCTATTAGAGCCACCTGGAGGCACTGCAAATATGGCTACAGTGAACTAAATTTTCTTAGAAGGTACTTTGATATAGCCCATACAACCATGGATTAGTTTCATAGTACTTTTTCGGAGTGTAACAACTTACTGGGTTTTGTTGTATGAAATTCACTAAATATACAATATTTGGACACTTAAGCCACATTTAAAAATGTATCATGTTTTTCGCATTATATGTGAAAATATCAAAACGAGGCACTTCTTTTTAAAGAAACATTGCACAAGCACACTTTTTATTGCTACTGGTCTCAAATTCTTTCAAAATGAAGACAAAAAGTCATTTTGGGTGTAAAACTGATTCATATTTCATATGTTATTATAACTATTCTGCTAGAAAACCTGCATAAACTTGAGGAGAACTGACTTCATACACCTTGGTAAAAACAACTTTAAAAAAAAAAGTGGCTCAGAAAAGTGAAAAGCTTGGGCATTATTTGTTTGCAGATGCCATTTGGTTTGATATTCAGTATCTAATGCATTGAAATGCAAACATGTTTAAAAGTGACTTAGGCTGATGATACACGGGGGCAAATTTTTGAGCAATTTTGCCGGGCAACTTTTTTTGAGCAATGTTGCTTGGGCACTTTCCCATTGAGAATGGGTAACAAATTTCTATCTAGATACTTTAGATCGGTTGTGGGCCCTGTGTCTCACCTGGTTGTCCGTTGATTGCAACATTGCTCAAAAAGTTGCCCCGTGTATCATCAGCCTTAGTGTCCAAAAACTCCACCACTGTATCCATTTGTGTTCCACAGGAGAAAATAAATCATACAGGTTTTGAGCAACATGAGGGTGATTTTCATGACCATCCCTCAGCGAGACACTGGGGTACAGCGATAAGGTTTTGTCAGGTGCGATGCAGGAACATCTGGAAAAGAAATATCCCCCACACAGTGGACCAGAACAGATACAGTCCCTTAAACGCTCTTTTATTCACATGAACTCTGCGTCAATCCTTTGTTCAGACAGTCCAAGCTATCTGTAACTTCTGCCTTCTCGCACTCTGCCCCTCTCCAACTTCTTCTCAGTGTAGTACGTTCCTCTAGTGAGCAGCACGCAAACACAGGAGGAGTCAATACGGATCCACCTCCATCCTATCCTCTTGTTTTCATCCGAGGTGAGCGCGCGTACGTACGACTGCTTGGTTTCGCACCTGCTCATCCAGTGTTTCTTATCCACCCCCAAGCAGCTGGCCCCCTCCACCGCCTGCACTTCACCTTTCCTATTTGAATCTGGCTTACGGCACTTTGTTTCATAGAAATACTGCTTGAGCGGCCCAGTCTGGGTCTGGATCTCTTGCAGAATAGTGACGGTGTTGCTCCGAAAGTCCACCGCCGTCTTCTTGTTGGTCACCCACGCGCTTTCGGCCTCGCATACGGAGCGTTCGATGCCTTGTGCACTGCCTTCTCGCACTCTGCCCCTCTCCAACTTCTTCTCAGTGTAGTACGTTCCTCTAGTGAGCAGCACGCAAACACAGGAGGAGTCAATACGGATCCACCTCCATCCTATCCTCTTGTTTTCATCCGAGGTGAGCGCGCGTACGTACGACTGCTTGGTTTCGCACCTGCTCATCCAGTGTTTCTTATCCACCCCCAAGCAGCTGGCCCCCTCCACCGCCTGCACTTCACCTTTCCTATTTGAATCTGGCTTACGGCACTTTGTTTCATAGAAATACTGCTTGAGCGGCCCAGTCTGGGTCTGGATCTCTTGCAGAATAGTGACAGTGTTGCTCCGAAAGTCCACCGCCGTCTTCTTGTTGGTCACCCACGCGCTTTCGGCCTCGCATACGGAGCGTTCGATGCCTTGTGCGCTGTGGGCGGCTTGCCGCTTGCGGCGGACACCTGGAACCGGGCCATCAGAATCAGAGAGACCCAAGAGTAAGTTTCTGTATGCGTCTTTGTCGCCTCCGTGACCAGACGTGGCAGCATCCATCATGTGACTTTCCTCGTCCTCAACGTCATCGGCCAATAAGCCCAACTCCAGCATTAAGAGCAGAGGCGGGTGTTTGGGTGGGGAAAGGGCCGGGGAGAAGAGTACCCGTGGATGGGCATCCAGCAAAAGCAGCTGATCTTCTTCTCGTAGGCCTATGTCATCAAACCCAAAGCCCGGTTCTGCTCCAAAGCCTCCAGATTGCTGCAGCAACTCTTTCGCATTTGTCTGAGCTTCGTCCAGATGTTCCTGCACTGGAGGGCTCTGCAGAGAGACGTTCGGACCTTCAAGAGGCCCGTCTTTCAGTTCACTTCTTGCGTTCCTGTCGTCTTCAAGTAAAGTCTCTGCCTCAATACTGCTTTCTTCATGAAACTGGCTAATTTTAAGCTGATAGTCCTTGAGAATATCGTTGCTTTGGGAACTGGCTATTTTTTGTGATTTGTATTTCCTAGGATTATGCGGCCTGGAGGCATCTGCTCCGGTAGTCCTTCCTCCACCTGTGTGGTCCTGCTTTGGGTTATTGACAAAAATGTCTTCTGTTAGAAGATTCTCTTGGTTTGCTCTACCTCTGGATATATGGTCCTCCTCAAATGTGCTCTGCTTATCGTCTGTTCTGTGAGGAGCTATGTCATGTGTACTGTAGTTGTTGTGAGAAGAGTCATGGTCCACTGATGAGTTGGTCGGGACGCTGCTGCTGCTGCTGTCGTTTCTGCCAGGCTCTTTCATTGCGGCAACAAGCCTGGGCACAGGACTTTGAGGGAAAGGCAGGGCCGAGGCGATCACCATGGCAACCAGGGGAAGCCAGTGCATCACTCCCAAGACGTGTCAACTATGAGTTGATAAAAAAGCAAGTATTAGAAAGCGCATAAAGAGGAAGAACAGTGTAGTTTAAGATGACATCACATCACATATTTACTTTGGAATGATTAGAATGTTAGCGTAACAAAATTCATCGGCGTGTAACAGATTATCAAACAAAAAAAAGAATAATTCCTGCACTTGCAATTGTATCAACATATAAATGTATTATTCACTCACAACGTTTCGGTCCCATGACCTTCATCAGGCATATACAGACAGTTCTGACAATCCAATTTAAAAACAACACATGACCAATCACTACAACACGTGGACACATCATTACCAATCAATGATGTAATACATTATTAAACCTACCTCATCATATATTTTGATACAATTGCAAGTGCATAGGGTGTGCGGGATTTATTCTTTTTTGCTTTGATGTTGGACCAGATTTTTGGTTGTTTTTCCTACGCACCTATTGATTACCTACAATTGTCCAAGTGTAACTGTTGATTGGTTGTTGATTGGATGGAGGCAGATCTGAATGCTAGCTTGCTGTTAATTGTAATAAATTGATGGGGTTTACCGGAAAGGTCCAGCATGCCTCACTAGAGAGAGGTTTCACCAGAAGATCATTTGAAACTTTGATTAAAAGTTAGCAAAAAAAAACAAAAAACATAGGTATGGATGAACTGCTCACTATAAGATCTATAACTTGCATTTGGAAAATAGATAGGGTACGTTTCATTTTATGCTGACTTGAGAATAAGAAATAAAGTCACTGATGTAAAATCACAACTGGGAGATAAAATTCGCAATTACCGTTGTATACTTTTTTACTCTGAGGCGGAAACAGGATTTCAAAAGAACAGGCTCAATGCCAGCTTATAAAAATAAGGTAAAATAAGCCTAAAACTGTAAAACTATAGCTTTACAGCTTTGGCATATGTTAGTGGAAAAAAAGATGCAAAATTGCAAGCAGCAGATTCATGTCTCTGTGCAGAGGGAGAGTGGAGCCGCAAACTTGCTTCACTATCGCCTGCTCCGGTTGTTTGGTGCAGACATGAAGTCACCGGCTAGCTGACATCTGGCAAAGCTCCGTTTGAAATAAATTCACGAACAGTGTTGGTCTGGTGCTGGCCTAGTTTCACATGAGACCACAAACAACCCTGGTATGTGTGGAAAAGGTTGTAAATTTCACAGATTATGAGCATGACTGAGGCAAACAAAAAGATGCCACTTTACTGCAGAATAAATAAAAAAAAGATCCTAAAGGGCCTCAAATAAATGCTCATTTCATCATCTTTTATGATCTTTATTTGTAGGTTTTTGTTGTTCATGCTTGTCTCATATCCTTTTTCCATACGTTTGACCTGATGATCCCATATTCACACACTTCTGTAACATGACTCTCTGCAGTGCTGAGAATACCTCAGAGATTTGGGTTATTTATTGACAGGACCGCCAAAGTTCAGCAGTCTTCTACCTAAGACAAGCTCCTGGGTGGTTACTGGCCCAGTTGTAGTGATTTATGTGCTTATTTAGTGGGGGTCAGAGTAAAACTACACTGATGGATGATAAACTCCCTTCCTTTTACTTTCAGCACTAAATGAGCAAACACTCACACTGTCAACCACCAGGTGGAAGCAAAACCATCACATCAAAAATTATAAACATGCCTCATCATTGGCACTTGTGTAGTTTTTTGTTGCATTGTACAATCAAAATAATATTCATATAAAGTTGTGAGGAGAGGGTTGAAAAGATTAATTCAGTACAGAAACCAAAATATCATCAAACAATATATAAAATACTGTTCGAAAGATTGAGGTCAGTAAGATTTTTTTTTTTTAACAAAAGTCTGTTACTCTCCAAGGTTGCATTTAAGGGATCAAAAATACAGTATTGTATTAATATTGTGAAAATTTATATTTGAATATATTTTAAAAATGTAATTTTCTCCTGTGGTGGCAAAGCAGTATTTAGTGTCACATGAACCTTCATACATTATTTAAATATGCTGATTTTGTGCTCAATTTGTGTTGCTTAATATTTTAGTTTAAACCAAAATAGTCCTATTTTTTTCCCAGGATTCTTTGATGAATTAAAAAAATTAAACTCAAACCCTTTATTTGAAATCTTTTGTAACATCAGTGACATGTCTTTACTGTCACTTTTGATCAATTTAATGCATTGATGCAGAAAAAAAATATTTAAATTTTTTTAAATGGGAGTATATATGGAAACTATTTATACTTAATGTATAAAAAATGAGTGCAAACTACATAAAGTGTGTAAGCTATGAGGTGTAACGCTCTTAACGGCAACAAAAAACATATCTACTTAAAACGTAGACAATTTGCTTTTTAGCAAGTGTTTGACAAGAAAAATGTGACCACACAGACCTAGAGTGTGTCGTCTTGTTGATGATACAGTGAAGGATGCTGTCCACCTGTCCAACGTTAAGGCAAGGTGCAAATCACTCACCAATGCTGTTGTTGTTGTGCTGAGAGATGAGGGAGGGAGAGGCATTTAGAGAGAAAGAGAGCTCAAGAAAAGAAGAATGCTCAGAATGTCAGTGATGTGGCTTCAACTGAGAAAGCTCCTCCTGGGTTTCCCCAGGCGGGACACACTAGAATGCAGGAGGGGGCCGAGTGTACGCAGAGTCAAGTGACTGTCCGTTTGAGAAGAAGAGATAATCATTAGGCTCATAGGGAGAGAGTGGGTGGACAGAAAGGTTGTGTTTGAAGTGCAAAATCACCACTTGTGACACTCACAATAACAGCACCCCGCCCCGGACACTGTTTTCTAATAACACTCAATCCAAACGAGCACACTCGCACACAATGCACTACTGAGCCTGCGGTCACACGCAGGGAAAGAATGCCACCAAGTCCACACGTATGCATGCCGGGACATGGAGCACTACACGTATAAGTGCTCACTTCCTGTTTACGTTCAACATAGCAGGTGTGATATGTGCCAATGAGGCTCTATCGTCTTTTAAATGCAAATATACTTGCTTAAGGCGGCTGTGCGTATATGAGTATTTCAGGTATTTTCGCTGAGAGATTTATAGCCTTGGTCTTTCACAACCGCAAATAATGACAGAATCATGTTTTATGCATCTGACATGCCTTCATACCATCTCAGAAACTACAAAATGCTACAATATCAAGACAGTTATCACTAAATCCCAGCATGTTGTTGACAGCTGAAATGAAGTTACATATATGACTGCATGGAAGAATCAATATTTAGGTATTGCTTCACAATATTTAGACTACGTTTAGATTAAAAGGTCAATGACAAATCTTGTTTGAAACTCATGAGGCAAGTTCTTAGAAATGCAAATACTCTTTGCACTCATGTTGGTTTCATACGGTTTTGAAAATCTTTTTCTCCATTTTCAAGAAAAGATTCAATTGAATGACTCTAAAAATGTCATGTGGTGTAACCATCAAATAAATGTACTAAATGTTTTTTCTCTACACCTCAGACATGTGATTACATACATACATATGAATCTATATTAAAACACATTTTAAGTAATGATAATGATTTTCAAATATATTTTTATATTCCTAATAATATTCAGTTTTAGAAGTCACACCACATGGCATTTTTCAAGTAAACTGAACTAATCTTGCCTTGTCATAAAAAGCTCAAACTGTCTGATGTTTTAGGAGACTTGCTGACCTTAAATTAAAAAACATGCTCAACATAGAAGAACTTTTTTCAAATTACTTTGTGTATAAACTGCATTTTTACGGCATAAAATGACTTCTTAACAGAAGTTACGTGTGTAAAAATAAAAGCATTTTTCATGGTTGAAGGTAGTATGTGTGTGTGCACAGTCTGCACACCTAAGTGAAAAAGGGTGTAGTGCATGTGTATGTGTGTGACCTGAGAGGAAGACTTGCTGGTTAATGTGTATGTTTGCTTTGGAACGGGAACACAAACAGTAGGCAGGCAGACACACGTGCAGGAGGCATATCTGTAGACGCTGGGCGACATGCAGAACCACTTCATCAGTGCGCTCCATTTGCAGCAATGACATGCTTCACGAACTCAGCCATCCAGACAGAGTAGCCCTGCACTTTCTCTCCTCACCTTACGCACAGCTCAAAAATGAGCCTCCGGCCTCACGCAAAAAACGCCAAGCTCCTCAACACAATGAACCCGCATGTTTAACCTGATCTTATACACTCTACCTCACAGGAACCTGTGTGCACACATCCACACATATCTTTGATCTGAACCACTACTCGCACCCCCATGACAAGCGCAATCTGCGATCTTCTAGACAAAAGCCACCTTAGACAAACACTTTGGCCCTCCCACCTCGTTCTATTCTCGGCTTCACGCCACTGAAAACCTTAAACCCGCATTATAAATAACCTCTTTCTAAGATTTTTCACTGGAAATCAGCCAGAGGATCCACTACAACTTCATGCTACTGCACTATAATAAGCCTGTCAAATCAATTATTGCAGATGTATGGCCTTTATTATTTATCCTCTCCAATCCGAACAAAAGCGTGACTCATGATAGACATTCTACAATCCCCCTGTTCAGACTTGACGTGACTGACAATTTTGGAATTTTCCCATCGTCCCACTCGCCCTATACACTCAGCCATAAGCGTCCAACGCAGCACAGTCTGAACTCCCATATCACGCCACAAAGAAGTGGAGAGAAAATGAAACATAAAGACACAGCTTTAAAATCAAGTTAAACAGGTCATGTCATGACAAAATTTAATTGTATCATTTTTTCATTTACATTTATATATTTTATGTTTATTTGTATTATAACTTTCAGAACTCAAAACGTTTTATCCAGTCCAAAAAAAGACCATTTGTTGTACTGAACTGCTGTAATGGCTTCCAGCTTATTAGACCAGCCACGTTTGCACATTGGTACTCGGTGTTTAGCAATCTGTCCAAACCAAACCCAGTCAAATAATAAGGAAGATGATTTCAAATTATTCAAAAGTAAAGAAAGATTTTTTCTACGTAATTTTTTAGACTTTGTATAGTTCCCTAATTGCATCACTGTAGTTTGTGTGGATTTATGAAGATTTGTGTGGATTTATGAAGATTTGTGTGGATTTATGAAGACTTTATTGCAGACTTTGCAATAAGGCTTTAACTGAAGGATGGGGCTATGCCAATCATAACATATAAATTGATAAGTTTACATGGGGTGTTAAAAACAGTCACAATGGTTGTGTAAAACTAAATTATGAATTATAAATAAACCTCTTAGGTAAAAGAAAAAAAAGGTAAACAATTATTTGACCTCTTTAATATTAGTTTAAAAAAGAAAGAGAGGAAGAAAGACATCTTTCCCAAAAAAAGATACTGCACAAATTCCCTCTGTGAGAAAGAAAAAAAAAATGTCTTCGCAGACAGGGATTATTATTCCAAGACAAACATATCTTGTCTCTCCTCTTTCTCATAAAGTAATTTTTGTGTCTGAATCATTTACATAAACCCCCCCAGCTGTACAGATGTGTCTGATCAAAGGCACTGTGTTGCAGTTGAGAAATCAGTAGCAAACATATCTTGTCTCTCCTCTTTCTCATAAAGTAATTTTTGTGTCTGAATCATTTACATAAACCCCCCCCCAGCTGTACAGATGTGTCTGATCAAAGGCACTGTGTTGCAGTTGAGAAATCAGTATCTTAAACACATCTGAAAATGGCTACCACACACTGAGCGTGAGCGACACATTCCACTTGCTCCTCACACTTCAGGATAATCTCCATCCACACTTTCTGAGAAAGAACTTTGGTCTGCTTCAGATCCTGCCTGGATAACTGGAGGAAGAGTTCACATTAACACCTGTAGGTTTATTCTCACTTGTTCTGTCTCGGTGGCTTTTTGTGTTACAGGGGTGAGAGAACAGTTACACAAACATTCATTATGTAGTAAACAAAGGTTGTGAGTTTCTGTTTTTATAGGCTAGATGGGCAGGTGACTGACAGGATGTGCATGTGTGTTAATTATTGTTTTAATGGCTGCCAGCTCCCACTCTTTAACTCCATTACTGTGTAAACACATTAACACTGACAAACTACTACTCTCGTGTGTAGCTCTGACATTTGTTTTTTAAGACTTCCGCCAAAGGATGAAAAAATACTATAGTAATTTATAGTAAATACTATAGTGTTTTTGAACCATACTATAGTAAAGTGTATTATACTGTATATATTATAGTATTTACAACACTTTGTTAATGAATGCTCCAGCATACTGTAGTATTAACTATAGTGAACTGATAAACTGCAATAAATACTGTAGTATACTTTAGTTTTTATTACAGTAAACTGTTGTGTATTGTAGTATAATAATATACCCTATAGTTGTAGAAAACTTAGTACAGTATTGGGTAATTTGTTTATATGACTACAGTTGTTATTTTACCACAGCAACTATAGAATTATCACAATAAATTAATTCAAATACTTTACTATAGTATGGTTCAAAAACACTATAGTATTTACTATAAATTACTATAGTATTTTTTCATGTGGGTGGTCCCTATAATATTACACAATAAAATGATTTGGATTATTTAAGATGTCATTCTGAGAAATAGTAAATGCACAAACAAAAACACACCTACTGTGTATTTCAAACAGCATGCTGGACTGGCTTTAGAGAAGCTTCTTCCGAGGTACGCAGGCCGGGCAAACTAAGCGTGCACACCTGAACTGGACAGCGCATTGTTCAGCGGAGAGCGTCGATTTAACCGCACACTGCACGCGACGCGAGTGGCGGGACAGCACCGTTGAACGCACTTACATTTCTAGATTTGTCGATTCGCCAGCGGCTAGCCTACTGTTGAAAATTATGAGATCAAACATATTTGGTCTTTCGCTAAAATAGTTTTCAGTCATCTCTTTCGAGGCCCGGGGCAAACGCTTCTCACGATCGCTTAAATTCCGATTGGTAATCAAGAATCCGACTCATTTTTATGAATCGGTTCTTTCGAAGAAAACGTTTCAGATTCAAAAAACGCTGTTTAAATTACTGTAAGTGATGATGGGGTCTCATATTACATGCTCTACTAACCGGTTCAGCAAAACTGTAGGCCTACATGTCCAGACAAATTGCTGTTTATTGCAGTTTCAAAAAAAAAAATGTTAACAAATTTTTATTGTGATTTGTTGCCCAGTATGTTTCAGCCATGATTCAGCTCATTTGAAACATACTTCACCTAAATGTAATTTGCAATAAACAATACTGAAATGTATCTACATCACCTGGCTGGAAAGGATGTTTTAATAAAATGCTATTACAACCAGCTGTTTTCGTAATACATACGAGCAGCTCATGTATCGAAAGAGACTCGGTTCACTGAGGACTCGCTCGGTTTGAATTCAGTGAACGAAATACTTTGCGAACCGATTCATCAGATCCAGCGTAAAGATTCGACTCAAATGAACAATTCATTTGCGTTCGGTTAATTCCAAAGCTTGACAACCTGTCAACGAGTCCGATCAACACCTGCTTCACATTAAATTAGCTGTTACAAAAATGAACCCAAATAAATTGCATCTGTCATTACACCACTTTAGATGTTATCAGCAGTAGGCATAATGTAGCTTAGTACGCTATCATGTTAAATTAAAAAAGTGACTTTGAAAACTCGCAGCACCTACCGTTTAGGTGAGTCTCGGGCCACGCGTCTCTTCGGCGAAAACCACATTGATTCTACAGTCCGTCAGTCTCACGCAAAAATTAACGAAATTTCCAGAAGAACTCTCGATTCACATCGTTCAAACTGCAGAAGTCTCCCATATCATCTCCGGAGTCCAGTCTGAGAAGGTCCACGTCGAGTTGTACTTCCACGCTTATCTGTTTCAAACGCGTCTTTTAATCTCCGGTCTTTCTTTACGCGCGAGCTTCTAAAGGATTGGCATGCAAGCGTTGAACAACCAGAGCAACAATACACCTCTGACACTGAGCGTCAGCTCTACTTTTCCAGCAGTCAGACCACAAATCGCAGACTTTGAGCTATAAATGAGCGACGTTTGATCTGAAATATAAGTTTTAAAAAGTTCGTAAAGTGGATGCATAAATTCCCGCGCAGAGAAGGTTTGAGTGCTGAAGTAAGGTAAGGTATCTTCATGAAAGGCGGTGAGGGGACAACAGCCAGTGGGAGTGAAAGAGGGCTGGTTTAGAAGTAGAGGAATGGACAGAGTGAAAGAAGACATTATGGTGGAGGAAAAAAAGGACGAGGACCATCTGCTGGCGGTGGGTGTTGAGAGTTCTCATAATGAAAAACAAAAAAGAGAGTGGAAAATGGCTTAAAACTAATAGGGTGGACTGACTGTCTTAGGAACTGATTTATTGTCAGTAAATTGAGTTCAAGTCCAAACTAATCACCCCAAGCAAGTGCATCTACACCATATGACCTTTCAGTTGTTAATAACTGTAACTAAAAGTAGCAGACAGCGGAATTTCATTTAATTCATGTCAGTTTATGGTGGTCTGAACAGGTTGGATTTTGAGACCGTGCAGCTCTTGAATTAGGGGACAATTTGTTAAAGCAATTTCCTCTGGAGATTGTTTTTTTTTTTACAGCGTCTACCGCTAACCAGCCCTTGGTTTTTATAGCAGGAGATGTATATTGCCTTCTCTCGTCCTCCCCTCCTCTCTCCTCCTTTCACCTAGCAGAAATTTCCATCCCACCAAAACCCATTTCCCCAGAAAGTTTAAAAAGATGAAAGGATAAGGAAAAGAAAGGAGACAAAAGAGAGACGTGTTCTGTTACAACCCTGCCCCTGTGAGACTGTCTGTGAAAGAGTTAGGGGATGAGAGAGATGGGGGAGAGAATAAGAGAACGAGAGGGGTACAGAAAAGAGGTTTTCAAATGAGGAACGGGGAACCGGTGTGGAACTTCATATTTAACACACACAAACACAGGTGAGCGCGCACACACACACACACACACACACACACACAAAAATACAAAGCCCAGTGAGGTCTGAAATGTGGTCTGGCCCCCTCATATTATTGCTCCTGTCCTCTCCTGACGCTGTTCCTCCCTCTTGGCATTTAGTGTTATTCACTCCCAATCTTTACCTCCTTAACACTATTCTGTCTCTCTGGTTTTGTCTGAACTTGTTTTGTATGCACTTAGATATTTCAACCCCAGGGCGTATTGGTGAGATTGAAGGAGTTAGAATGAGAGAGAGCCACAGGAACAGAGAATGATTGAGAGCGACGAGTCACTGAGGTATTGAGCGAGATGACAGGCGAACAAAGGTAGAAAGGGGAAGAAGGGACAAACTCAAACGGAGGTACAAAAGTTCTTTCACACACTCGCACTCAAATGGCTAAACACACGCATACATGCACACGAACAGAGAGCTCTGACACCTTATCGTTGAAGGATAAAAATACATTTCTGCATATCATGCTAAAGGTCTTATCAATTAGTAGTGTGAACCAGCATTACTTGTTTTTGTGAAAGACCTTTTAGCACCCTACACCCCAAACACCTATACAGGGCAACTCATCACACAAGGACCACACCGCACGTCACTGACACTGAGTCATACATGAGAGCTTCTGACGAAACTGCACATCTTTCAGATGCCAAAACCATACCACAGATAAGAGACCGTCCTTCTCGTGATACGACCTTGAGCTTTGCAAAAGACACTCAATAAATAGATGCTGATTATTATCAATATACCAGTGTTATTTTAGTATCATTGATACACTCTTGTAGTTTGAGTAGCCTATTTTGATTTTTTTTTATATATATTTTGTTTTAATTTGAGTAATTTTGTTGTTTTTATTTTTTAATAATTTTAAAAATAAAATGTGTATATAGTTTTTTTTATTAATGTTTGTTTGTTTTATTTTTATTTTTTAGTACATCAAGTTCAACTAAATGAAAATGAGATATGTGTCCTTATTTTTAATGTTTATGTTTATGTTAATTCAGTTAGTTTATTTTATTTAAAAGTAACACAATGTTTTTTATGACTTTAGTTAACTAATAAGTCATAAATGCATTATACTATTAAAATGTAAATACAATAATGTAAGTAATTATTGCAGTAATATTTATTATAATACTAATAATCATAATATAACAATAACAATAATAATTAAAATATTATCATTTTTATTGTTGTTTTTTAATCTTACAAAAAGCAATATTAAAATAATAAATAGTTTAATAAAAAATAAATACATTTAATAGAAATAATATTAAATTTATAATATTAATAATAAATGTAATGAACAAATGTAACACTTATTTTATTTATTATTTAATCATTTAAATGTTAATATTAATTCATTCTTCATTCAAACTTTGGAAAAGGTTACTTGCGGTCCATTTTTGTTTTCTTTGTCCCTTGTTCATAGTGTGTGTCTACATTGGATTTATTTCCATGGCAATGGATATCCCACCTCAAACCTCAAATATCAAAGCAATTACAATCTGTTACATAGCCATTATAGCAATTATTGAAAATAGCGGAGCTGTCAAGGAGACCAGTATGCTGTCCACAGACGCTCTCCTGAGCCTGAGGTTAGATTTATGGTCTCAAAAGAGGTGTCATTCATTCATTAAATTCATTTTTCCTCTCTTTATCCCCCCCTCACGCACTTAAATTTCATAGATCTCCTTCATTACTGATTCCTTACATTACCCCCATTTTATTCACCCCCAGCACCACCATTACCTCTTTCCTGGTGTGTTCCCTCTCTCTCTGTGGGCTGCAGCATGTGTTTCCAATTTTGGCTGTAATGCACAGTTCGCCGCAATCTGACCTAATTAGCCCCCGTCATGTGGGTCCGCCCTCAACAGCACCAACAATGGCAGACAGGCTAGAGGTCAGAAGTCAGGGGTCGTAGGTGGGAGCACGGATCGGATAAGGGAGCAGCGCCTTTGATTGATGTGTCAGGTCCTGCAGCATTAAAGGGCGTGTTCGTCAGTGTCCACAATAAAAGTACCACTGCTGTTATTTCTTCAGTATTCGGGATCAGAGAGGGTTACTGAGGCCTGAAATTGGATTTCGCAGTAAGACAAAAGGGTCAAAGAGGGGAGGTCAAGAACACAGGAGTGCCGTTCTTAACAAAACACACAGACTAAAGTACATAAGCCACAATCTCACACACCTTGAGATGATAGGTGCTAGGTATCGGATCCGTGGAATGTCTTGCTACTGGGAAAAGTGTAGGGTTAGACCAAGGGATTTAAGAGGGGAGACTGATTTTAGGAATGCCTTAATTATGGGAATGGAGAACCTAACTCTCTGTTTAATCCTTAATGAGAAACAGCTTCATATGGAACGAAGGGAAGCAGAAAAAATGCTTGAACTTTAAAAGGAATGATAGTGCGCAAGGGAAAGCTTGTCAGCTTTATAAAGCATGTAAAAGTGTGGCTCCACGCTGTGTGTTTTCTGTAAACCGATATGATTACATCTCATATGGAGCCCCTTTTTATAATCTCAGCCTCGTTTTACAATCCTCATAACACCAATAGAGGGAAAGCCATTAGAGAAATACATTCAACAAGCAACTTGCATGAAATATTCCTCCATTGATTTGAGTATGGAAATGGGGCTAGCAGTCCTAATGGTTCTTGGTTGAGCACAGTGTGGTGGACCGCTGTTGCCGCAGGCATCCGGTGGGCTCTTATGCTGTCTTAAGGGCTTTATGTTTTACTCCTAGTGTCCTTGAGAAGATAAGCATAGACTGTGATTGTCTTTGAGACAGGCCTTGCATTCCTTAAAGCAGGGGTCTCCAGCCTTTTTTACACCACTGACCGGTTACATTTAGAAAATATTCTCACGGACCGACTGGAGGTGGGGGGGGGTCTTGTGCACACTTTGGGGGTGTGCGAGAACAGCACGTGAGTTGCGAATTGAGTTCTCTTTAGTTTCTTATTCTTGTGGTTTAAAATCACGTGAACGTGTAAATTGACAAATTAATAATCTTGGCGGAATAGATCTGCTACGCTGCTGAATTGCTGCTGCTGTGGGTTATTGTAGTTGTAGATTATTGCTGCTGCAAAGCAAGTACAGGAACTTATACTGCCAATACATATGCTGATACGGTGCTGTGAGTACGGTACTGTGAGGCATACTGCTGCTGCACAAGTAGCATATATAACAATCCGTAGCAGATCTATACAGGTGGAGCTGGGGAGGTGGAAACAGAGCCGATCCTCCCTATATGCCAAATACGTAAGCTGCGTAGGGCCCCCCAAACACCAGGGTGATTTAATTTGAGTTTCGTTTTTGAATTTGGCCAGCAGTTATGAAAGCATGAATGATCATTTCTTTTAATGCGGTGCGCTGTTGCCCTTTCTACGCAAAAATCAGTCAAATGATGTAATGTGAATGTCGTACAGTCTTGCTCGAGACTAAAAAAATGAGTTGAAAGCGTACCGAGCTGCGGAAGAGACAATGTTTCTCAAGCGCTTTCCGCGAGCACGATTCGAGATGGAGTGAAACATGGACAAATGTGTTTCATTCATTCATAACCACTCATACCCCACTCCAAGCTGCTGCAAACAGCTCTAGTGAATGCTAACCAGCCATTTAAATGTAAAGCAGTAAGCTCATTGGCTGCATATGCAACTTGAACCAATCAGCTTGTGCCAAGTCATTTAACGCTGTGAATATCATCAATTTGCGTTAATGACCCATCAGCCTGTTCCATCTAGCGTTTCATGACAGAACTTGGCATTTCATCTTACATT